TTGAGGCAGGAGAATGGCGTGAACCCGGGAGGTGGAGCTTGCAGTGAGCCGAGATTGCGCCATTGCACTCCAGCCTGTGTGACAGAGCAAAACTCCGTCTCAAAAAAAAAAAAAAAAAAAAAGAGAGAAATAAGAATGGAAAGAAAAAAGGCTCTGCCATTCTCAGAAAGGATGGGATACAGGATAGGGCTGGGCCCCTGAGAGGCCTCCCAGCCTGCAGCCTCAGCTCTCGCACCACCCTCCACCTGTGCCTGGGGTGGTTCTTCTGAACGCTGGGAGGAGAAAGCCCATTAGGGGTTTATTTGCTACCACTGGCTCCCCCCAGTTCTTGCAGCCTCACCTCTCATCATTCTGGCCCTGCAGAAATGCCCAGGCCACAAATCACCATGTTTCCTAAGTAAGTCACACATCTTAAGATCTCTCGGCCTCTGCAGGGTCATGCCCCCTGCCTGGAATACTCTTGCCTCCTGCCTGCTTGGTGAATTCCTCCAGAATTCTCTGGGCCCCGCTCTGCCACTTGGTGGTGAGGAGCAACCCTGGCAGGTTCCCTTCTGTTTCTGCAGTGCGGTTTTCCTAGCTGCGAGATGGGAATGGTCCTGTTTGGCCAGCTGATCTGAAGGGGATATGGAGGGTCAGGAAAGACAGTGGCTGGCACAGCAAACTACAGAGGGGAAGGCTCAGAACGAGCAGCAGAGGGAAACAGAGTAATGGCTGCCATGGATGAGCGCCTGCCTGCTCTGCGTCAAGCACTGTGCGGGGCGCTGTACACACCTCCTCAGCTCATCTAAGCTTCACAACAGCCCTCGGACAAACAGCCTCAGGGCAGAGGTGTAGCTCTGCCCTGAGTGTCAGGGACCTGCCTGGGCTTGGGATTGTTACAGATCTAGGTTCCAATCCTGGCTTGGCCTCAGATCTGCTCGGGCACTCTCGGCATGTGCTTTAACTGCTCCAACTGCAGGGTCCTTATCTATGCATTGGGTGTGGTGTCACCTACTCTGTTGGTTGTCATACAAAGCAAGGTAGGGAAAGCACTCAGCATTGAGCCTAGCTAAGTAAATGTTAGCAACAATGATATGCTCGCTTTATAGACTGAAAAACAGAGGCTCAGAGAGGTTAAGTAACTGGCTCAGGGTCACACAGGTGATGAGTGTTGGGGCTGGGATATGAACCATGGTCTGTTGGACTTTAGAGTCAAACCTCTTAACCATTGCTTCCCGAGCTAGGTATTGGAACACCTGGAACTTCACTAATCCATGGGGTGACTTGGGACAAATCCCTTCCCATTTCTTAGAGTAAACTGAGGGGGCTGAACTAGGTGGTCTCTATGGTTTGTGAATCTTGTAGACCTTGCAATCTATCCTTGCAAATACTCTTTTATTTTCAGTAAAATGCATCAGCTAATTGGGAGGTCTATGGATCAATCATGCCTGGATGGCTGAGGGTAGCTGTGGAAGAGACCAGCACAACAAGCTGGAGGTAGTGAGAGAGCACTGGTATTGGCCATGGGACTGGATCCAAGGCCATCTCCTGCCTCTTGCTGCCACACAAGAACAAAAAAGTAGAAGGTAGAGACATCAGTCCTGCCTCAAGACTCCTATAAATTCATAGTCACCCATCCGCCCACTCACATATTCATCCATCCATCCGTCCATTCATTCATCCATCCATCTACTCATCCACCATTCCATTCCATCAAGCAATCAACACATCTACCCATCCCATCTACCCATCCATCCATCCATCCATCCATCCATCCATCCATCCATCCACCAGCCAATACATCCATGGATCCACTCATCCATCCACCAACCAACACATCCATCCATCCATTTACCAACCATCACATCCACCCATCCATCCACCTAACCACCATCCATCCATCCACCCACCCATTCACCCATCTATTCATCCACCCACCCATTCATGCATTCATCCATCAATCCATCCATCCATCTACTCATTCATCCATCCACCCATCCATCTACCTACCCACCACTCATCCATTCATTACCCCTTCTCCCTACCTACCCCTCATCTCATTGATTACTCATCTACACATTTATTCACCAGTCCATTCACTTACATCACCCATCCAACCAGCACTTCCCAAAACTCTATCCGAGGGGGATGAGAGAAGACTCAGCTGTCTCCTACTCTTAAAAAGCCCACAGCCTGGCACCAGACAGCCAGAAGACACAGAGGAATTGGCCTCCTTGTGGAGGGGGAAATACAGCGTATGGGAGCCCAGCCCTGCCCAGGGTCTTATTTTCCCAGTCTAGGCTCATTTCTCAATTAAAGCTGATGGGTAGTGAAGCTGGTGGACATTGCATGTCATTCCTGCTCTGTCTCCTCTTGTATGTTTTCAGAATGCCCTGCAATCTAGATTTCCTGTCCTGGTTTGGAGGGTGGCCAGGTGTCTGACCTGAGCTGAGCAGCTCGAGCCTCTTCTCAGTCTTCATCTGAGCCTAGAAAGGGGAGCCCCTGAGAGGCCTTTTGCCCCATATGGCTTGCAGGCCCTGGCTGTGAATCTCACCCTCTGGACCCCAGACCTTTCTTCCCAAGCAGATCGTAGACTATAGGGCTGCAGGGTTGGTTTCTATGACCAGGAACCTAGTCTGGACATCTGACTCAACAGCTAGCTTTAGGGTATCCATGGGTTAGCTTTGCCGCTAACTGGCTGAATGGTTTTGGGCAATAGCCTTTCCCTCTCTAGTCCTGATGCCTCCGCTCTGTTTATTTGTTAACCTCTGCATTGCTACAAATGGAATCTCCTTTCAGTGGATGATTTTATTGCTAAATAACAACAATACTAGTCATACTGAATGCTGTGTGCTAAGCACTTTCCATTAACTAACTCACTTTATCCTCACAACAATCCAAGATTCTCCCCCTCCCCTAGGAAACTGAGGCACTGAGAGGTTAAATAATTTGTTTATATTCATACAGCTGGTGAGGGATTTGAACGAAGGCAGTCTGGCTCCAGAGTCCAAGTTTTAACCACTACCCAGTCACACAGAGGCTCTGCTGTCCTTCCCACATCGATGGCTGTCAGCGCCCAGCAAAAAGAATAATGTGGCCAGGGAACTTACAAGAAAGATCCAGAAAGACAGGCGCAGGTATCCTTTGATGCCAGGGTTCCAGATACAGAGGGCACTCTGGGAGGTAAGGGACCTGGCCTGGGTTACAAACCAAGGACCCCAGTTCCCACCTCTCTCCAACCTCAGCAGCTGCACTTCCTCAGATGGACCGACTGACCCCTGTCCTTTATGCCACTTGAACAGACTTAATCCACCAACATCTGGAAATGACATTTCAGCTTTGCCTCCAGTGCTAAAAAGCACTGCTTAATTGAGACTCATCACTGTGGAGAGGTTTCCTCAGCCTTCTTGGCAGATCCCAAGAACTCTTTTTGACTATAATTGCACTATACACATCTCAATCCAAGCCCACCCCACAGGGCTGTGCCCACATGGCTAAAGCCCATTCTGTGAATTGCCTGTTCCCCTCTCTGCCACGTCTGCAGGAGGAGATCATTATCAGCATCCCAGTTATTTTAGGAAAGCCTGGGGAGCAGAATAAAGCATCGCTGATCTCCCTTGATTCCCAAATTGGGTGGGGTGGGGGAAGAAGACAAAAGCGTCATCATGTTTGGCATCACCCCAAGGTTCTCTACCACTGTCTTCACGGGTCCTCTAACCTACTTTCCCCTTTGTCAGTTCTGCCTCCCTTAGCCTGCTGCTCCAGGGTGATGCGGGTGGCTGCTCAGCTGCTGCAGAGGGTGCAGGAGCTGCCTCCTCCTCCTTCCCCTACCAGCCCTTGGCTCTTTGCTGCTGACCCACGCTCTCTTCCCCATTTTGACAAAGCTGTTAGCAGCTCCTACAAACCCACCTAATCGAGAGGGTTGCAGCTGGCTCAGGGGCAGAAGGAGGAGGAGGTCAGGGCTCAGCACATTGGAAGGGTAAACAAAAAAGCTTAGCAGATCACCCAGATGCTCATGAGGCAGAAATGCTCTACATCTGGGAGCTGATGGACATCTGGATGGATGAACTTTGGGTTTCTCTTCATCCAGTGCTGGTTAATTACAAAGGGGCAACCTGTGCTTCTAAACCAGATAGGGTTTATAGTATGGTGAATCTAGGCAGCTTAGCTGACAGTAAGTTGAGAGTTTTTCTTATCAAAATGGATAATATTACTAGTATTACTAACAACATCATCATCAGTGGTAGATTGTGAAAATGGCCATGATTATTCTCCTTTCTGAATCCATGTCCTTACAGCACTTCTCATCAAGAGGTGAAGTCTGTTTTCCCACTGTGTGAATCTGGGCTGGCCTCCTGACTTACACTGGCCAAGAAAATGCGGCAAAAAGTGACAATGTGGCGGTTCAGGCCTCAAGAGAACTTGCACACTTCTACTCTCTCTTTGAGGCCTGTTGTTGCCATGTGAACAAGCCCAGGCTAGCCTGCTAGAAGAGGTGAGACCACACAGGGCAGGGATGAGCCAGCCCAGCTGAGGCCATGCTAGATCAGCCTACAGTTCTGCAAGATCAGCAGAGCTGTCCACGTGACCCCCTGCAGATGCAGGAGGAAGCCCAGCTGAGACCAGAAGAACCATCCAACTGAGCCCAGCCTGAACTGCTGACTCACAGGACTTTGAGTGAAATACACAGGTTTGTTTCAAGCCATTAAGTTTTGGAGTAGTTTGTTATGCAGCAAAAGCACACTAATAAAAAGTTTGTGTGTGTGTGGGCAGGGGGAGTGGGGGTTCAATGACAGGATTTAAAAAACATAATTAACAATAAAGATTTGTCACACAAACATTATAGCAATATTGATAGTATATTAAGTCAAACAGAAACATGTTGCTTACTATCTGACCATACCAAAATATATTAGCAGGATTTGAGACTATGAATCATATTGTTCAACCTGCCCAGTACCTCTGTACCATCCCATGAATGTTGCTCCCTCTGGTGGTGGATGTGCCTGGTACCCACTTACCAGAATCTTGGTGGTGTAGGCGCTGTTGATGGCGATGGCATTGACCAGCAGCTCCATGGTCTTGGTGTTGATGGAGCTGGGGTCAGGGATCTCTTTATAGTGGACGTCACCGACATACGCCTGTACCACTGTCATGCGATTGGTGGTCAGCGTGCCCGTCTTGTCTGAGCAGATGGCTGTGGCATTGCCCATGGTCTCACAGGCATCCAGGTGGCGTACCAGGTTGTTGTCTTTCATCATTTTCTGGGAGAAGGGGCAAGTGAGAGGGCATCAGTGAGGAGAGGGGCTGGGGAGCATGAGGTGCCTGGAGGCACTGGGTAAACATGTAGTAAATAAGGCAGAGCCACCACAGCCTGCCCCTTTGCTTCCCGCACTTGTAAAGGATCTTGGTTGCTGCTGTCTCCTACACCTGGGCTTCTTCTGTCTGTGCATGGCCCTTTTCTTTCTCTTTTAGTATCTGAACCATTTAAAAGACTCAATTGAATTTATTAATTTGGATTATAGAAGTAATCTACATTCTTTATGGGAAAAAGGGGGAAAGTTAAATAAGGTTGGTTCCTCTCTGGGTACTTTAAATATTTTTCTCTTACAGACTAACATAAGTAACTATTCCTTATTTGGTCATGAATTTTCTCAAATGTATCATCTTTCACTGGTGCCTGGCTTTCATTGTCATTTTAATTTTACCAAAAGTAAATAAATTAGGATATAGGAAAATACCTGGAAAAATATCAAAGTGTTAATGTCATTATTGCTAAATGATAGAATTATAGATTTTTATCTTTTCTATGACTAACATGTATTATCACTTGCATAATAAAAACCACACATTTCTTTAAAAAATATGTACACAAAAGGGAGAAAGAAAACATATTGACTGTTAGCTACCGTGCACAACTAGGTACATCTTGTAATCAACATCCTTTTTCTTGAAATTTATAACAAAAATGGAGTATTCCTAGTATTCCTATATGTAATATTTTCTTCTATCTGTCTTTTTTTTCTCTCTGGCCCAACTCCACACTCATACCTTCTTCTAGGTTCTCAAACAAGTAATGCAAATGGAGTAATTCTCAAGGAAATACTGTTCTTCATGCAGGCCCTCCTGACATAGCAGCTGAATGAGATAGAGTTCTAGGCTGTGCCTAGGAATTTGATTTCCTTTATTTTGCTCCTCATTATAACTCTTTATAACCAGGGTAAAAAAGAAGTGCAGTTAGAATAATTGTAATAGAGCTTTATGTTACTAAAAATGAGTATTAGCAGGATTATATTCTTTTGCAGTTTCTCCTACTGTAACTTGTGACAATAGTAATAATAAATGCATGTTGAATGATCAACAGCAACTTGAATTTGCAACACATGTTACAGTTTGCAAAGTCTTCTCGGCTGTTTTAAGAATTCTGTGGCATATGAGAAGATTCTGGTAATCCATTTTGGCAATTGAAGAAATCTAGGCAAAGTGACTGACCAGGATCACACACCTGGAGGGGTTTAAGGCCAGGATTTGAACCTACCTCCATTTAACCTCACAGCCTGGACCTTTCTATCGGGCCTCAGCCCACTTGCACTCTCTGAAGAGGGTTCATCTGTTGGGCTCAAGAATCTTTAAGTCCGTACTGTCCAATATGGTAGTCACATGTATTGTGACTATACATGTATAGGGTACTGAGCACTTGAAATATGGCTATTCTGAAGTGAAATGTGCTGTGAGTGCAAAATACACACCAGATTTAGAGGATATTATGAAAAAAATGTAAAAGTAGTAGTTCATTTATAATTATTATATTGATCACATGTTGGATTGATAATAATTTTGACATACTGGGTTAAGTACATTACATTATTAAAATCAACTTCACTGATTTCTTTTTACTTTTTTAAAATAATGTAGCTACTAGGAATTTTTCTTCTTTTTTAAAAAAATTATTTTATTTTGTAGAGATGGGGCCTCACCATTTGCCCAGGCTGATCTTGAACTTCTGGGCTCAAGCGATCCTCCTGCCTCGGCCTCTGAAAGTGCTAGGGATTACAGGCATGAGTCACCATGCCTGGCCGCTACTAGGAAACTTACAATTGCACATGTGGGTCCCATTCTGTCTCTTTTTGGGCAGTGCTGATCTAAGTGGTCAGTCATCTTTGTGCTCCTGATGGTGGCTCCCAGGTCCAGGCTCACAGAGGGCACAGTCTGCCTCTCCTGTGTTGGGGTGCTCTCCTAAGTTTATCAAGTGTCTGTAAAAGTAACACTACCTAAGATGAGCGAAGGTAGTGGGTGCCAGAGATACGAACTACAGAAGGCGCAGAGCCTAAAAGCATCTGTATATGATTCTCCCAAACGAGCTCTGTGCAACTTTCAAGGACATCCCCAGGCTCAATGAAGTGGCTGTGGAGGCCCCCTACTCATGACAGTCACCCTCTGCTGGCCCCGGGTCCCAAAGTAGCCTCTTGCTGTGACCTGTCTGGGCTTTGGTTTGTGGGGACAGAGTTTCTTTAAGAACCCTAAAACAGGAAGATGATAAGGGCCGTATCTGTTACAAAGAACTGCCACTTTCTGGCACCTGTCTGGAGATCTCTTTTCTGTATGAAATTACATCGGAGAGCCCAGCCCAAATTCCAGCTTGGAAACTGATGCTCACCATGCCCTCTGGAGGCTCTGCCAATTTCTCAAGAGTGAATGCCTTGTTTATAAACATGGCCACGCCTCCACCCTCGCAGGGACATTCAGGCATGGGGCGCTGGAAACAGGAGTCCTACGCCCGGCCCTTCCAGGTGGAAAACACATGGGGCAAAGGGAAAAAATGAGACCCGGGTGTGAGAACCTGGGGGTGACCCAGTAGCATCAGACTGGCAGTGACTGGGTTCCACAGACAGCCATGGCCTGGGTGCAGTGGAGGTGCAGCTCTGCCATCAGGTAGCGCTTAGAAAGGTCCCAGTCCTTGGAAAACATTCATGACTCCAGCTCTTCATTTAACTGCTTTAAAATTTCTTATATTTTTAGCCTCTTTCCAGAGGGGAGGAGGCTTCCATGAAATCAGACTTCCTTTTTGTTTTTGGCTTACCCCTCTCACTTTAGGGAGCCACCTCTGAGATGAGTTTTACAAGCGCTACAGTTACCCGAGGGGCCTATGTCTCAGACCGCCAGACTTCTGTGTAAATTTGGTGGGGTAACGATGAATTCTGGCTTGCACGGTGATGTCTTTACTATTTTTAAAAATTTTTTGAGTTGATTATCAATGTCTAAAAATCGCAAGTTAATACATTAAGTCCAGATTTCTGGCTTCTCTTGGAAAAAGGTGACAATGTGGCAATGCTGGGTCTGCACCCCTGCAAGACGGCATGTGACTGGGCTGAATAACAGCTGCCTCTTCAGCCAGGGTATGGCTCTCTGGTTTGCCACAGGCCCCTGGACTCTATGAAAGTGTCAGAGTTTTGGGGTCCTGCATACATTCTTTTGAGCTCCCAGGGGGTCTATGGGCTTCTTCGTTCATCTCCCAACCCCAGCACTGGCCCCAATGATCCCCCAGGCCCTCGGCTGCAGCTGCATCAGTCGGCTGGTCCTGCTCTCCTCCCCTCTCACCTTCACTGAGTAGGCCAATGAGATGGTGACAGCCAGAGGGAGCCCCTCGGGCACGGCGACCACCAGCACCGTCACGCCAATGATGAAGAACTTGACAAAGTACTGCACGTAGACAGGTGTGCACTCAGGCAGCCACGGCTTCTTGTTGACCACGAAGGTGTCCACGGTGAAGTACAGAACCAGGATGATCACTGTGATTGCTGACATCACCAAGCCTGCAATGTGAGGGACACATGCTCGAGGGGTTCCAGGAAGTGGAGGCCGCGGGTGGTGTGGACCAAACCTTTGGCTGAAAGAGCTCTGGGTCAGGCTGACCCCAGCTCACCTCCCGGCTCCGCCACTCCTTGCTTTGTGACCTGTGGCAAGTTCTTGAGACCTTGATCCTCACCGAGCCTCAGTCTCCTGCTCTGTACAATGGGGATGCATATTTCCTCCGCAGGATTTTGTAAGGCTCAAATGTGGTAATGCATGCAAAGTGCCCAGTATAGTGCTCAACACATAGTAGGTATTCCGACACATAGTAGGTGCTCAAGAGATGTGTGCCAAGTGACTGTGTGAATAAATGGAGGAATGGTTTGCATAGAGCTTTCACACAATAATGATGTAAAGTTGGTATCATTTATTTATTCATTTATTTGACAAATACCTTTTGAGCACCTATGACACGCCAGGCACATCTTAGTTCCTCGTTTGGGAACTAAGGACACAGCAGTAAAGAAGATAAGAGTTCCTGCCCTTGAGGAGCAGACATTCTAGAGGAGGAGGAAGACAAGAAACAAAAAAACAAATACATGAACAAGACAATTTCAGATATGGCTACACACTGTGAAGAAAAAGGCTGGGATGATGTGATAGAAAGTGACACTGGGGGAGGGGGAGGTAGGGAGTGGTTACTTTGGCTAGAGTGGCCAGGGAAGGCTTCTTGGAGGAGGTGATATTTGAGCAGACACCAGTAGCATGGTGACCTAGGGAAGAACATTCTATGTAGAGGAAATAGCAGGTAGCTATTTTTCAGATGACGAAACTGAGGCTCAGAGAGGGGAAGTGACTTGCTTGCAGCCACAGGCGAGAAAAATGCTGTAACTGTAGGAATGCAGCTGGGGACCTGTCCTGATCCCCTGGGGGTTCCTCTTGCTAGTTTAGCATGCCCATCCCCTATCTGCTACAGGTGCTACTGCAGGTGCTGTGGAGACTGCTCACACCCACAGCCTCTGACAGAGGAGAAGCCTGCTGAGGTGACTGGGTCTGCTTGTCGGGAAGGGCCTGGGAATGCACTCCCATCTCAACCTGATGGCCAACATCCAGTGGCTGACGTGTTAGTCCCAAAGCCCAGCCATCTGCTTTGAGGTAGGACAGACCCTAGAGTTCTGGGCAGCATGGACTTCATCCTGAGGACAGCGAGAGTCACGGAGGAGGCTTGAGCAGAGGAGGGCAGGGATGGATTTGGATTGCTCCAGAGCTCCCAAGGGATCGGGAGAGGCTGGGAGTTCTCTGGAAATCTCAGTTGCCCCTGGCTTCTTCCCTAGCTTGGACCTGTGTCCCTTGCGGGTCTCACCTGAGAGCACCCTGTCAATAGATCTCCTGCTTACTCATCTCAGGGAATTCAGCCCAAGAGAGAGGCAGAGATGGGCTGTGAACCCAGGAGTGCTTCACTGTGAACTCCATTCTTGGCAAGGCTGAGGTGCAGGAGGGAGAAGAGTGAGGACTTTGAAGGCCACGGGGTTGTTCTCATCGCTTAGTTCCTGGCCCTGTCAGTGCCATGTTTCCATGGAGTCTTCTGCCTATGGTGGTGGCGATGGTGGGATAGAGGATAGAGGAAATCCCTGAGCCCATAGCGCTCTACCCCCACCTCCAGCTGCAGAGCCTCAGAGCCGGCTCCATCCCTGTCTGACAGTCGAAGGGGCGGGAAGCCAAGCTCCCAGCAGCCAGGAGCTGTCACCAGGCCCCCAAGTTTAAATATAGACAGCCAAGTCTGTAATCTGCTTCTCTTCCCCACGCGGTGGTATCTATAATTAGAGCTGGGGAGACAGCCACAAAGGATCGAGCAGCCAGGTGGGAAGGCCTTGGTGTTTGCTACCTCGTTACCCGGGAGGGGAAGCCTAGGCCATGCCAGAGGGTCGGGGGCTCACTTTGCAGCTGGGCCAGCGGGGCTCTCACCAGCCATCACCTGCAGTTACCACTTTAGTTGGGATGCCCAGTTTGTTGTGCTGGGGCTCAGACCATGGGCTTCTCCCTGGGCTCCTGGCACTGTCCCTCAACCTCTTCAGTTTTTCCTCTGCACTGTGGCCAGGGTGGTCATGAGAAAGCCCAAACCCATTCCTGTCTTCCTCTGCTCAAGTCTCTTCTATGGCTCCCACTGTCCTCAGGACAAAGTCCGTGTTGCTTGGAACTTCAGGCCCTGCCCCTCTCCAGCTGCTGCGCCTGCCAAGTGCTAATGCCTTGTATGCAGAGTCTCCTTTAACTCCCACAGCAATCTGTGAAGTGGGGACAGCTATTATCCTCATTTTACAGATGAGGATACGGAGGCTCAGAGCTAAGAGAAGTTACTTTCCTCAGTTTTCACAGCCGTTGCCGGACAAGAATGCAGGCCATCTGCTACCAGAGCTTGGGCTTTGAGCTTCACTCTTCTGTATCACTGAGTGCTAATGGAGTGCCTACTGTACACAGGACTCAAACTGGGTGCTGTGGTAGAGAACGGTGGGCTTCAGGCACTCATTCAAGCCCCCCACTTTGCAGATGAGGTAACTGAGAGTGAGCTTGGGGCAGAGCTCTGCCTGGGGTCCCCCTGTGAGCCCTGTCCCTTGCCTCCCACCTGCTGCACTCACCTGCCTTCCCAATCTGCACAGCCAGCTTGGTGAGCTTGCCCTGAAGCACGGACTTCTCCTTCTTGTGCATGCTGGCCTTCTTCCTGTCGTCAGCGTCGCCGCCCTCGGCACTCTTGAGGGGTTGCATCTCCATGGCGGCTGCCCCGTCCTGCTGTTTGGCTGCAGGGGGCAGATCACGCACGTGCACACACACAGACACATAGACACACACATGCAGGTCAGCCCACAGGGTGGAGACACTGGCGCCCACCCCTGCCTGCCCAGGGGAGGTGCTGACTGCCCGGACTGAGCCCCGCATGACTGGTGCAGAAGTCCTGTGATGGGGGGCCTGCCTCTTCCAGCTGGAGCTATGGATCCCAGTGGCACTGACTGCCTCAGACCTGGAATCTGGGACACAGCAGGGACTGATGTTGTTACCCTGGATCCCCCTCTCGGCCTGAACAAGCCCGTGGGTCCTACCCCAGGTGGTCCCTTGTCCTTTCCCACATTCAGACAAGATAGACAGGCTTGGGCTCTACCCAGCTGGTCCTTGGGACCTGTTATGGGATATTAAGTAGCCACTAGACAGGAGGGACAAAAAAGGAGACTTAACATGTAAAACAGGGCGGCCATGGGAGCCAAGTCACTATCCCAGTTGGCGTGGCCTCTTCATGCAGGATGGACTGGAGGGCCCGTAACCCTTTTGGACAGAGACTGAGCCAAACTCCCTACCCCTCAACCTCTAAGGATCTCAAAATCTTCTGCTGAATGGTCAGCAGAGTTCAAAGGCTAGGGAGATGCTGGCCCGTGGGTGTCCCCCTCCTCACCGGTGGACACCTCTTTATTTGGCCTGGCACCATGAGAATCACAGCTACACCCCCAATGTCCTCAGACACCTGTAGGAGTGGATGTGTCTGCCTCTGGCCCCCGCCAGTCCCTGTCTCTGGTGTGACTCTGAGAGCTGGTGGGGAGGGGCCTCAGGGACCACAAATGCCGGTTAATACAAAAGGGTTACCTTTGCTCTGGCTGGCGTCCACATTGCCATCCTGCATTTTACCTACACGACAAAGAATTTTAACAGACAACAGAGAACAGACAACACATGGTCGGTCATCACGAAGACGCAACAGGCCACGGACATTAATGTCACAGATGGAGGGAGGGCGGTGCTGACTGCATCCCTTTGTGTGGGGATGCGGGCTGGGGAGGGCCCTGAAGCAGAAGCAGGCCTGGCCACAGCCTTAGCTGTGGGGCTTGCCAGCTGGGCAACTCCTGATCCTCTAGGGGACTCAGGAGGGAGATTTCTGCTGGAATACTTTTGGCCCTTAGTGTGTTACAGATCAAAGGGCAGTATCAGAGGGTGCAGGGGACTAGAATCTGCTGGAGGCGGTGCAGAGAAGCACTCAGGCCCCCATACCAAGCCTTTTATGACTTATTTGGTGTTTTCTGGGTTGAGAGAAGGCCAAGGGAAACTTGTTCCGTTACATCCTTTTCATTTTCCCATAAAAGAAAACATGCAGACGAGAGAGGAGGGAGGGAGAGAGAGAGAGAGCGGGGAGAGAGAGAGAGAGAGAGAGAGAGAGAGAGAGAGAGAGAGAGAGAAAGGACAGTGTTTCTAGAATGGAGAAGAGTTTGGGTTTGGACAAGGCACTGAGGTCAGTGTGTTCCTTAGTTTTGGGCTTCAAGAGGGATGATCTTTCTCCTTCTCCTTCTGAAGAGTGTGAAGCCACCCAGGGATGACCCCTTGCCCAATGCCCCTGAGAGTGACCAGAGCAAAGAGTGAGCAGGGGTCCCCATGGTGGTATACGAGGGACCCCAAGTGTGGCTGGGTTCTTGGTGAAGTGCCCTGGTCCCCAATGGGGGTGCTGACCTCTTGGTAGGGGTATGGCTCAGGCTAAAGCAGCAGGCTAAGTAGTGTCAGTGGGCACCCCCTTCCATATCAGGGCTGGTGCTGCATCTGGGGCCCCCTCACTCATCAGAGCTGCCTGGGAGGATCCCACTCCAGCCTTGGCCAGGAGCTTGTGGGCTGGGTGTGCAGTGTGGGCACTGGAGGCCTCTGTGTCTTGCCTAGCACACCTGCCTTCACCAGCACCCTCTCATCCCATCCACTGGGCCTGCACACTCACCCGGAGCTCTGCCTGCTCTGCCTACAGGCCTTGCCCCCTCGGGATGGGTCTGAGAAGTTTGGCCACCCATGGATGATGGCTGCAACGGTGATTCTACCAGCTCACATTCCAGGACAACCTGCCATGTGCTGGGCATACACATAGGCTCCGAGATTCCATCTAATCCTCACTACAGCCTCACCTATGAAGGGTGTGCTTGTATTATACCCATTTACAGATGAGAAACTGAGGCTCAGAGAGGGAGATGAGCTGCTTGGGTCTCAGTGGGTAAATGGAGAGCTGGCCCCAAAGTGTGTGCCTACTTCCGTCCTGCCATTGTTTCTCCAGAAGCTGCCGTCAGGGAGACCATGGACACCCCTCAACCCCACTGAGTCCAGGGGAGGGAAGTTGAGGTGGCACTGCTAGGGCAGGGTTCCCCTGAAGTCTTCATTCCGCCACCAACTAGCTTCTGGCTTTATATCTCCCAACTTCATCAGCTTCCACTTTCATAAAACAGGATGAGACATTCACCTCCCAGAGTGCCCCAGTTACCTTCATAACAACCACTTGCACGGTTCAGCCTTTTGCAGTTTCAAAGGGCTTTTGCAAGTGTCATCTCTTGTCAGTCTTCCCAGTATCCCTGCAAGGTGGGGCAGGAGGGATTTTCATCACTCTCATTTTATAGATGGGGAAACTGAGGCCAAGGGAAGTTCAGAGACAGCCTGCATTTAGGAGCATCCTCGGAATAATCCCGTGGCTGCAGGATTAGTTCATCACTGTCACTGTGCCCACTTTCTGGGTGACTCAGAGGGGAGAAGTGGCTTCCCCGAACCTCGCCCAGCACTGTCTGTCCAAGGGCAAGTGCAGAGCTGTCCCCATGGCCTCCCATGGCAAAGGATCAGTTGCCCACCCTGGGCTTTAAAGTGAAAGATCCCCTGTGTCTCTATTGTAAAATTCTTGCTGCTGGATTAAAAAACACAAGAGAAAAAAGCTTTTTAGAGTAAGCAGGAATGAATGACAACAATTATTTTTATTTTCTAAAATAATTTTACTGACTGGGCTCAGGGGCACCAGGGGACTCCACTTCAATAGTTGGTTTTAGAAGGCTCAAAGGGGCCTTTATTTGCATTGCATATTATCAGATGCAATAGCCAGTGTGTGCACTCATTAAGCGCAGCTAGCAATTTCCTCTTTTATTTCCATAGTGAACACGTGGTCAGAAAAATAATCACCAGTGCATATGCTGGAGGAAGGGAAGGATGTTCTGGGAGTGCTGAGGCACAGATGGCCTGGTTTCTCAGAAGCGAGGGACTTATTTGGGGCTCTCCTGGCCAAATTGGTGTTCGCCTGGCCCTGAACTACGGTGGAACAGCCAGCTTTGGCCCCATGTGGGATCTGGAGATGGGCTGTATTTCAGGAGAGCTAGGAATGGGGTCCAAGATGGGGCCCTCAGGTGGGGTCTCAGAGGCCCTTCTCTGTGTCTGGAATCAGATGCAGCTTTTCCAAATGTGTCTATTCCCTCTGTGCGTCATAAGGGGCATGGGTGTGAAGCGCATGGATTGGGAGGATTCCTGGTTAGCTGACCTGATGCATAAGTTCTGGGGAGACAGACCACTAGCTGGGAGACTTGGTAAGTATCACTTCTCTTCCCTGTGCCTCTGTTTTCTCCTCTGTGAAATGGGCCGATGTCAACTAAGGTGATGTTTATGAAAGACACTGGAAAGCACTGTGTGAATGTTGGGAGTTAGTAATGATGTATTATTATTGTTGCCCAGGCTGGAGTGCAGAGGCATGATCTTGGTTCACTGCAACCTTGAACTCCTGGGCTCAAGCGATCCTCCTACTTCAGTTTCCTGAGTTGCTGGGAATATAGATGTGTGCCACTATGACCAGTTAATTAAATTTTTTTTTTTTTTTTATAGAGATGTGGTCTCACTATGATGTCTAGGCTGGTCTCAAACTCCTGACTTCAAGCGATTCTCTTGCTTCGGCCTCCCAAAGTGTTGGGATTACAGGCGTGAGCCACTGTGCCCAGCCCATGATATATAATTGTTTTTTCTTTTTTGAGACAGAGTCTCACTTGGTCTCCCAGGCTGGAGTGCAGTGGCGTGATCTCGGCTCACTGTAAGCTCCGCTTCCTGAGTGCAGCAATTCTCCTGTCTCATCCTCCTGGGTAGCTGGGATTACAGGTGCCCACCACCATGACCAGCTAATTTTTTTTTTTGTATTTTTAGTAGAGACAGAGTTTCACCATGTTGCCCAGGCTGGTCTCCAACTCCTGACCTCAAGCAATCCACTCAGGTTGGCCTCCCAAAGTGCTGGGATTACAGGCGTGAGTCATTGTGCCTGGCCTCATGATGCATAATTAAATGTGATTATAACTATGATTACAGGTCATGTATTACATAGTGACACACTAGTAAATGTAAAAGAAAAATAACTAAATAATAATGGCAATCATAACGCTTCCAAGATGAATGGACCACACCCATCTTTTAGTTGGGGGGTTGGGGGAGCAGGGGCAAAGGGAAAAATTATCACCCTAATTTTTTTTTCCATATCCAAGTCATTGCGATTTGGCTCAGAGGAAGGAGGGGAAAGAACACTGAATTCCCTCTCAGTCGGCAAGGTTCCTTGAGCCTCTCACTTGTAACGTGCTCTCACCTGGAGTCTGGAAAGCCTGTTAAAATGCAGATTTCCTTCAGTTGGTCTGTGGTGGGGCCTAAGATTCTGCATTTCTAAGGAGCTCCCAAGTGATGCGCAGGCTTTGGGTCCTGTGATCACATTTTGAATGGCAGTGGCTTAGAGCATTATTTCCCAGAGTATGTTATGGGTCAAATCAGCCTAGGAAACTCTGTGTGACTCTGGAACTTTCCCCCACACACCAGCATATTCAAGGCTCTGAGCAGTCCTGTAACCAGGACTAATTCTGTAACCAGGAAGAGACCAATTCAATCCAGTGGTTCTTAAACATCTTTGACGGCAGAATCCTTTCCTTGGGGTGAAGACCTCTTAACATCGTTGTGAAACTTACAAGACACACTCCATTGGGAAATCCTGGATCAGGAGGAGAAGCACACACTTTAGAGCCAGCCAGGTCTGGGTTTTGGGTTCAAATCCCAGCTCTGCTACTTTCTAGCTCTGCGACCTTAGGCTAGTGTCTTGGTCTCCTTGAGCCTCAGTTTCCTCATCTTTAAAGTGGGGACAATAAAACCTGTATCATGGGGGTGTCAGGAGGATTAAATGAGATGGTGAACATGCAATGCTTTCAACAGTGCTTGGTATACAGTAGGTGGTAGAGAAATGAACGTTTCCTGCAGTTTCTCTTGGTATATTTGGGGTTTTCCGCTGCAGTTTGGAAGTGAAACTGCCCTTTTTATCTGGGACTGGCCAGCCTGGATGGGGTCTGTATGTTCACAAAGCTCAGCAGGCTCACTGCCGGGGGAAGTGGGTACCCCTCCAGGTTCCTTCTCTCTCAGCCATGGGTTTGCCCACATGGGTTCTCCTTGTTACCCTCAGCCACCCCTCCCTGAGGCATGACACCTCCCACTCCCCAAGCTGTCCTCCTTCCTCCTCCTGTGCCTGAAATAGACCCACATCAGAATTAGTCCTTCCTGGCAAGGCACTGCTCACAGAAGTGCCTTACTCAGCCCCGACACCTACTAGGTACTTCCATCTTTGGTCATTTTGAATGCAGGTGGCTTGGGCAGAGGTCTAGGGCAAGGGATGGGAGGCTGCAGGGAAGAAGTCTCCATATTATGCAGGAGTGGTGAGGAGTGAATGATATGATATAATGGATGAGAAACCCATAGCCCAGTGCCTGGTATGCAGAGACGGTGGGAGAAAGATTTTCCCCTGCCCTCGGCTCCTCTGGGGCAATGTTTTCATGATGGAGCCCTAATGGCTCTCAGCAGTTCAGGAGTAGACTGGGGGACTATTATGTTACCTAATTTGAGGGTGGGGTTGGTATCTGAGTAAACAGAAGCCTTGTCTATTGCTCTGGAACCAGGAGGGGATAGAAATCCGAAATCTTCTGAAGGCTTTAGGGCGAGTGAATGGAATTCCTTCCTGCCTGTGTGTCAGGAGGTTAAGATGCAGACCCCAGTACACAGTGGCAACCCCTCTCCCCCACCCTCCACCCCAAGACCCAGGACAAATGCTCCAGCACAGGCAACAGCAAGAAACACCAGTCCACATCCGAGGGACAGAACCAGGCCCGAGCCCAAGCGAACCCCCTGCCCGTTGGCTCCATGAAAGAGAAGAGGAAGAACTGTTTACTGGTGGCTCAGCCATGCTACGGGACGGGGTCAAGGAGCTGAATCCTGGCCTGGGTCCCCTTGCCTCGAGGAAATTTTAGAGCCGAGGAGTAGAGCCTTTGCTGGGGACCCAGATGCCAGCTTCAGCCCAAGCCCTGATCCCAGGCCTTCTTCCCAAAGCCAGGGCCAGGAATACGCTTAGGAGAGGGCCACGCCAGGTGGGATGCTGCTTCTTGGGAGCCAATCCGAAGCCGAAGTCTTGTCTCTTGTCTGGGCTCCATGGGGGTCAACGGCCCGGCAGGAGCCAGCACCTTTTTGGCAGCTGCAAGGCTGACAAGGTGCAGAGCTGACTCCCCGGCTGTGGCTCCTGTCTTAAGCGCCTGCCCCATGTGAGAGGGTGACTGTCCCAGCGGCCCATGCACATCCGAGATCTGTGCAGTCCAGAACAAGGAAAGAAAGCCCAGAGTTGGGGTGGGGGTGAGAGACGCCCATCCAACCACGACCAGGAGCTCGCCGTGGGAGACATACCATTGACTAGGCTGGCATTCGCACTATCTGCAGCATTTGAAGCTGCCGCACCGTCTGCTGCTGCAGGGGGGTGGGAGGGATGGAAAATGCAGTGTCACAATGGAGAAAAGCAACAACAACAAAGACATGAACCAACTTGCAGGGAGATAACATGACTCTATTCTTAAAAAAAAAATTCTCCGTTGGAAACCAAGAAACTCACATTTGGGGTGGGGGTGAAATGTTCCATAGAGATGCCGCAGAGGTCAAGGGGAGAAACTCAGACATGGAGGGGCTTTCAAATAAAGCATGGTGGATGACGAGGGCAGTTAGGTGGGATGGTGCTGGTCTGTGCTGAGGTCTGGACCCTGCTGGTCCAACCAGTCAAGAGAGTCCCCTGGCAGAGAGGGCTTCATGAAATGAGGGGATTTGGCTGCCCACTGGGGGCCAGGAGTGGAAAAATATTCACCAGGCAGTGCAGCGTGGGCATGGACCACTCAGAATGAGTATTCTCCATGACCACCATCTCCATGCATCAGGGTGTTCTGGCAGAACATTTGCTAATGGTGATGACTTTGACTTAATTGGATTCATGCCCTTGATTCAGGCCACTGCCTCTTTCCTTAACCGGCACTCCAGACTGCTTTGGGAACTCTCATGTGAGATGCCCCCCAAATTTAAAAGGTGACATCAAGCATATTGCATTTTGTATATGGGACAGAAAAGGCACTAGTGAATTTTTCTTAATTTAGAAATTAAAAGTGATATGAGATGGCTAAATTCACACCTTTTGCTCTTTCTTGGGGGTGGGGAATAGTGTTCTATGGGCAGGAAGAGGTCCCCCTGGGTGAAGCACACAGTTGCGTGAGGGCATGGGCTCCCCGGGGGTGCTGGTGGGGAGAGCAGGGCCTGGGGAGGGGGGCCCTGTGATGATGAGCAAGCTTTGCATGCTGGTATGCAGGGCTAAGAGTGATGTAGAGATGGTGGTGGTATCACTTGGCATTGGCCGGTAGGGTGAGGAACTGTAAAGGCAAGAGGGTGGAGTGGGGTGTTGGCTTGTCCCACAGGGCTGGCATCACACGAGGGCACAGAGGAGGGTCTGGGGGGTGGAGCCACCCACAGGCATGTGGCCTCCTCCAGCTGTGTGCTGGTGGTCTAGGGGCAGGGCCCAATGACCAAAGCCTGCTGCTATTTCTAAAAGCCCATCTACCCTGAGGGTGTCTTACTGTACCTGGTAGCTGAAGGCCATCCCCCTTCTTCACACCTGTGTGATGATTTTTGAGACATATTAATGAAGGAGAAGCACACAGCCTCATCTGCCCATGCGTGCACACACACACACACAAACACACACATGTGCATACACACATGGCCATACACCTAGGGTCATCCTGAAATGGGGACATGTGGTGGGCTCTAAGCAATGTTCCTAGTGGAGGTGATGGGATAGGAGGGCAGAGGGGGCCCAGCTGAGACCATGCTGCTCATGGTGGCCTGAGATGCTGGGTTGCTCCCCCAGGCTTCCTCTGCCACGTTCCCTCCACATTCCACCATCTTCTTTCCCCATGAGGCTATTTTTCTGACATCTCCATCTCACTGGAGTGCAGGTGAATGCTCAGCGAAGGACCCTGAATTGTGCTTCTGGGGCAGTTGAGGCTTGTCTTCCTACTGGCATTTAAAAACCACAGATCTGGCCCACAGAAGAGTATGGGGGCACCTTCCCCTCACCCAAACCTCAGTGAGGTGAAGACAATGGGTACAGGCTGCTGCATCCTGCCTACCTGCTCAGATCTGCCTAACTGCTGTCATTGTGGAATAGGGCTCAGCCATCCTGACCACAGATTCAAACCCAGCATGTGCACACTCTCCTTACGTCCTCTGGGACTCTTGGTCAGGACTCTTTCCTCAGTTTCAGCCTTAGCACCCCTTTACTCTCTCCAGCCTTCTAATTTCTCAGAACACAGCTCAGCTCCATTGTTCCTGCTGGAGGGGCCACCATCATCTTAGGGGACCCCCTAGAAAATGGGTTTTGCCTTCAGGAACAAGTAATCTTCAATCTTGACCTAAGCTCTGAGCCTGATTGGCACAGAGAGCTGGAGGGAGCAGGGCTGCCCCTAAAATGCAGGGGGTGGGGCATCTGTCCTCTCATCTCCCTTCTGGGATTCTAGAAGTTCTGAATGTCACAGATACTCCTCTAGAGCTTAAGGAAGGAGACAAAAGACTGAAAATGTGAAAGGGGGGCTATCTTTGAGATTAAGTGTGGTGACAGGTAAGGAGTCAGCTGTGCTGGGACTAGAAGCCTGGGCCTTTGGATTTGGGCCTGGCCTGACGAGACTTGAGCTTTTTGTGTGAGCATCTCTCCCTCTGTTCTGAGAGACAGTTTTAGCCTGGGTGGTCAGCCTGCTGCATTTAGGAGACCCCAGTGAATAAGGAATCTTATTTTCAAGGAAGAGGAAGAACTAGAACTCAGATAAGATGGCAACACTGGAGAGCAAACTCATAATGGTTGATTTGGAGTCATGCATCTGGCTGCCTTTCCCAGAATCTCCTCTGCCCATGTCTTGGATGAATCTATGCTGGGTGGATTTTCAGTTCTGCTCAGTGGAGTTGACAATATTGGAAGGAATATGCTTGGGTGGGGATTTCTACTCAATACTGGAGTAATGATGGGACCAATTGATGCTGGCTGTTTCTACCACTTGAGGCTGGAGACTCAACAACATGGTCAGCATCCTTGGCCTGGCCCAGAGGGGAAGGAGGGGCCTCCATGACATGATTGGACAAGACAGAGACTGGGACAAGACCTGGAGATGGAACAGACAGAGCCTACCTGGCCCATGCAGGCCTTAAGGATGCAGGAGGTGGTGGCTGTCAGCACAGGGTGTGGACATAGAAGGCACTCAATAACTATTTTGTTGAGTGAACAAATAAACAAACAAAAAAAAAATGTGGCCTTAAGAGCTCCTCTCCTGGTCTGCAAAGGAATTAGGCTTACCTTTTTTGTCTTTCTTCTCTTCCTCTTCACCACCTGCCCCCAGCAGGGTAAAGATGATGCCAGTCTGAGAGTTCACACCCACAGCAGTCACCAACATCCGTCCTGAGCCCTCCATCACGTGGGTCCCTGGGAAAGGAGACAAAAGCCAAGTTACTATTGCACAGTTGAAGTCCTCTCCCCAAAGGAGTGAAAAAATGTGGTCTCAGTCAGCTCCTGGCTCTTTGCCTGCTGAGGCCATGAGGTATCACCTATGGTTAAGATTCACACTGTGTGTGTGGTGGGCCCTTTTAAGATGCTTTCACCTCAGGACACTGCTGGGGTGGAAACACTGCTATCTATCAGTTCTCAGGTACCCCAAACATCTCCAGGCCCACCACCTACTACCTGCCCTGGAGGGTCACTTCCTCCTTCTGTCTTCTTCTCCCCACTCCTCTCCCACCCTTACAGACATAGACATCAAACTCCAGGAGTGTTATCAGTGTCCATGATGCCACTACACACATTACAAAAATCACAGATTTTTTTCATATCACTTTACAGCTATTGTAGCATTGTTGTTGCTCATCTCTATTTTATAAATAAAGTGGTTATGTGACTGCTTGCCAGATCTTGTTATTCAGTGTTCTAATAAAGTACACTCATTACTATACCACACATTTTTTTCTACTTTATGCCAATATAATTGGTTTCCTTTGTGATCTCAGTGGGATCTTACGGGACCCCACGCATTTCATTTTATGCATTTCAAGGCTTTATTTGGAGTAGGAGTGGCACATGATGACACCAGACTACTCCAGGGGTCTATGTTGCAAGAAAGGTTAAGAACCTCTTTCCTAGAACTTTAGATTTCTCAAACTGGGTTCCAAAGGGCCCTGAAATTCTTTCCAGGGGTTGGAAGGGTGGCTACTGGGGGGTGAAGGAGGCCTTTGGTCAGGGTGGCTCTACTTCTATTTGTTTTATCACTGGGGCTTCAGTGTCAGCTTTTGTTTCATGAAAGAGTCTTGTTGCCGCTTGCAAGCAGCCTCTCCACCATGCAGGCTCAGAGAGCAACTTGTCCAACAGCAAGCAAGGGCTTCAGAGGGAGGATAAGCTGCACAGGGGGAAGAAATGTGGTCTATACACTCAATGGAGTATTATTCAGCCTTAAAGAGAAAGAAACTTGAACAGGCTACAACATGGATGAATCTTGAGGACACTGCAGTAAGTGAGCCAGCCACAAAAGAACTATAAATACCATATGATTCCACCTGCATGAGGTCCCCAGAGTCATCAACTTCAGAGACAGAAAGTAGAATGGTGGGTGCCAGGGGCTGGGGAAGGGAAATGAAAGTTAGTGTTTAATGGGTGCAGAGCTTCAGTTTGGGAAGATGAAAAGACTTCTGTGGATGGATGGCGGTGACGGTTGCACAACAACGTGAATGTACTTAGTGCCATTGAACTGTACACTTAAAAGTGGTTAAAATGGTAAATTCAATGTTATGTGTACTTTACTATTAATATAATTTTAAAAATTGGAAAAAAAGCCCACTGAAGCCATGGCCTCACTGGGGAAGCAAAGATGACCCCAGGAGGACAGCTGGGACCCAGTCTGGGAAGTGAACAGCAGCTATGCCCACCCAGTTCTAGCAGCGAGAGAATGCGGCACTGCTGATCCTTTGTCCTTTGACTGGTGCTAGAAGAATCTGGATCCTGGAAGGTTGGCTCTCCAGGCACACATTTTTTTTCCCGTTTTTATTTTTTGCTACTCTGGGTAGAAAGCTGTATACCATGAGGGACACACTACCTTCTCAGATGGGGGAGTAAGAATTCCACCCTGGCCTGGCCGGACAGTGTCACAGAGGCCTTGACAGGCACGACAGTGACTCTCTGACATGCCATGCCTTGCTTCTTGAACTCACTTCTGCTTTTTTTTTTTAGGACAGATCCTCCCCTTTTAACCCAGCTGGAGTTGAGTGGCACGGTCCTCTCCCACTTGCAGGTTTTGCCCCTGGGTTTCCGGCCTTTTTCTTGCTTCGGCTTCCCAGTTGGTTGGGCTTCCGGGTGCTTGCCCCCCGGCGGGGTTTTTTTTTTTTTTGTATTTTTAGTAGAGATGGGGCTTCACTGTGTTCGCCAGGATGGTCTCGATCTCCTGATCTCGTGACCCACCTGTCTCAGCCTCCCAAAGTGCTGGGATTACAGGCGTGAGCCACCGCGCCTGGTCCACTTCTGCTTTTTAGAGTTCTCCTTTCTGTCGCCTTGAGACTGGGTGCCACTTCTTCCTGTTTTCAGCATAACTTATCTCTCGCTGTGTTTTGGTTTGCTTCAGATTTGAAATCTATGTCAGGAAACTCATTAGGATTGTATCTAAAATAAGGGTTGAGGGGTTCTGAGTCAGGACCTAAAGAGCTTTCCTTAAGCAAGGAATCTGTTTTCACTTTTTAAGTGGCATCGTCCACCTTGTCCCTTTCCTTGTAGGATCTGAGTGATATCCCAATGTTGTGTGTGTGCGCACCTGTGTGTGTGTGCATGCTTGTGTGTGTGTGTGTGTGTGTGTGTGTGTGCATGCTTGTGTGTGTGTGTGTGTGTGTGTGTGTGCGGGCAACAATCTAGCCTCTTGGTTTGTAGGATCTCAGGATCTCAAAGGGCTTTACAGAGAGACAGACTCTCCAGTGATTCCTTTCAGGCAGGTAAATGTCAGCCTTTCCATGAATAGATGCAGAAACCAAGTCACCAAGGCTCACAGAGGGGGCGTGCAGAACCCAGATTCTCAGAGGGCAAGCTCTTTGGCCATTCCCACGACAGAAAGACAGTGCTTTTATTTTTTCCTCTTGGCAGGGCACAGTGGGGACCACAGAATGAGCTCAGACATTAGCTCCAGGCTGAGCAGCCCAGGCCTGGTGACTTCTCATCACAGGCAGACTCTGGAGCACCCCACCCTGCTCTGTCACCCTGCTGAGGCCCAATAACAGGGCCTTGTTTATTATAATAACTTGCTGACAAGATGCCTCCGTGGGCACCGGCTTGGCTTGTTAGGGTGCCAGGAGGAGAGGTTGTTATGTGTCAGCATTAGACAGATAAGAAACTGGGGTCTCATGGTAGGTATCACCGGAGACTCTTCAGAGGAGAGGAAGGAACACTACATTGCATTCACAGGGCACAGAAAGCAGTAGCAGCCACCCAAGCTGACCTCCTGTATAAGCAGAACACCTACTGTGTGCAGGGCACGTACTGCCTTCCATGCTCAATGATCTCATCTAGTCCTTAAACTGGAGGAACTGAGGCTCGGAGTGGAGGAGTGGCCTGCCGAGTCACTCTGCTGGTGAGGGGCAGAGCCTGGACTTGAACTCTCTGCTGTCCCTGAGCCTGTTGTCTTTGTTACCTTCCACTTCGCCTCCAGGGGACAAGGCCCTCACATTCTGGTCTGAGACACATCAGTAGAAAGGTTCGTTGGATATGAAGGCATTGGTTCTCCGGCTTAGGTGGCAACCAAGAGGCTGCTCCCCACCTCCCAAGCCAAGACAGGATGGAAAAAGATGCAGGGGGCCAATTTCCACCCAAGATAATCAGACCCCCAAATCACCTTCTAATCTAATCGCTCCCATCGCAGCAGGGAGCTGGCAGCTCTACACCCACATCCGGAGGCAAGGAGGTGGGAGGAGGATGCCAGAGAGGGGCTTAGGCATAGAGCGCTCCCCGCCCAGCCCTGGAGATGCGCCAGGGTGTCCTCCAGAGCCCAGCAACAGCCAGGGCAGGGGAGACGGGGCATCCACAATTTCCCAGTCTTCCCTCCGTCTGTTCTCCGGTATCCCTAAGCCTCTGCTCTTACCTGTGTCCCCCCAGTTCCATTCCCCTCTTCGAGGGTTTGGAAGCCTCCCTGAGGTCCAAACCACTTAGTCAGCGCCCCCTGGATGAGACCTCAGCCTTGTTGGGCCCTGGACACTGAGTCCTGTCTCGTGGCCTTTGCCCTTGGAGCGTGCACAGCTCACTGGGCCTTGGTGTCCACCCCCCTGGCCTTCGTTCACAGTGACCACCTGAATGCCCTTCCTTCACCTCTTGTTCAAAACCTCCTCCACAGGATGAATGCCCTTCGCCTTGGGTGGCCCTCCTGACTCCCACTAGGGGACTTCATCTGTCTCCTCTGAATCACCTGCAGTCTTCTCTGGGGGTGCTTCCAGGCCTGGCTCCTTCACATGACCATGAGCCCCCTGAAGGCACGGTCTGAGTGGGAGTGTCCTCTGGGCCTCCCCCGCACAGCCTGGTTTGGAGCTGCAACTCCAGCACATTTTTTTGTACTATTTTGAACTTTCCAGGGTGGTCTCTTATACACATCTAGCTATTTTGAACTTTCCAGGGTGGGTATGTACTACATATACAATTGGGAATACTGACACCCCTAATAAATCATCTTTATGTTTTGCAAAGGGTCACATTCATCCCAGCTGTTCCCCCTCCTCCCACACCTCGCTGGGCTGTGCCCTCTCCTCTCCCAGGCCCTCCTGCCAGGGGAAGACTCCAAAGGACTGGGGCATTTCCTAGGCTGTCCCCTCCAGCTCCACAAGTCCCCTGCAGAGGACAATGCTTAACACCATGGCAGAAGCAATTAATAGTAGAGCCACAGACGTCCAAGTCAAAGGGCAGTGGGCTAAACCTCTAAAAGGACGACCACAGGGTCTTTGGGTAGGGGGCAGAGGTGGGAGCCTCTTGGGGATGGAGGCCCTGATAGGGCCTAGTGGGACCTCACTGACCACAGTCCGTTGGGCAGCACACTGTAGCCCCCACCTCCTCTAACTGCCCATGGAGCCCTTCAGAAGACAAGCACGGGGAGGGGTGGAGAGAGAGCCCTAGACCCGGAAGAGGGCACCTGGGACCTGGTGTCTAATTCTGATTGCTATGTGACCTTGGGGCCAGCCCCTCTCCTCTCTGGACCTGTTTTGTCATCTGCAGAGTGGGGAGGGAGCTGGCTTAGGTCACCACATCTCAGCATAGTGTCTCAACACTCCGTCCCAGGAAGAACAGCCCAGGGCATGTCCTGGGTGGGGTAGACAGCTACATCTCGGGAAGAAGAGGGTGTGGAGAGGCCGGCAGAGGCCTGTGTGGACAGAATGACCAGATGGCACCCCCTTCTGGTGGACAGCTCCACAGTCCTT